AAAATCCCCTGATTTAAGATTAAGAGAAATAGACAGGATAAAGACATTTGTTCTGCTGGTTCAGCGAGAAAGTCTGGAGCAGCCCAGCAGGACTGGTGACCAGACACACCAGTTCTGCCTGGCTTGGCAGGACCCGGGGAGAGCTGCTTGCCACCAAGTGTGATGCCACAAGGACCAAAAGCAGCACCAGGGACTTGTGTGCCTAGCTCCCTGCACAAATATGCTGGGAACCACAGGCACATGAGTCGGAAGCACCTGCAGCAGGCTCCCACCCAAAATCGCTTTGGTCACAGCCTACTTGGGTCAAGGTAACAAAACATTTTTACTTATGCTTCACACAGCTTATCACAACTGAAACACAAGGGGTGAAAAAAGGAAACTTTAAAAATGATACTTCAGAGCAAACCTTAAAATAACCACACGCCTCCTTGCTGCTGGAAGTGACGGCCAGTAACTCTGAATGCTGTGCAAAACTCTTCTTATTCACATCTTACACACAGCCTGTTTTTTTCAAGCTCCACCTGCATGTTAATCCAAGTATTATCACGAGAATGAAAAGAGCCCAGCATCTTTTTCACCCCCTGCTTATCTGTAACAGCAGCATAGTTTATCTTTCTGCTGCTGCCAAAAGCTCTGAAAAATAAAAGCCTGCACGAGGGCATACACCAGGAGCTCAGCCTGTCCTTTCCAGGGCAAATGTGCTGGGTGGCCTGAGGAGGACAGGCAGGAGCTTAAGGAGAAACACAGCCAGAAATCTGCTCCTACCTGATCTGGGGGCTTCATGTTTGAGCATACAAAGGGGAACTCCAAGCTTCAGCCACTTGTTAAGTCCTAGAGAGCGTGGCCCTGGGCTGGGCCCCACAGCAGTGCTCTGATGAGGCTGGAAAACCCTCACCTTACCAACGCCTTGGAGGACAGGCAGGGTAGGGCACAGAGGTATTGTATGGGTCTTCCTCCTTTCCATTTCACATCTTTTTACTTTTAAGCCCAGGCTGGACCTCTTGGTCTGGGCAAAGCCACCCCTCGTGCATTCAAATTAGGGACATGTGTCCTATACAACTGGCCAGGAAGCACGTGGCAGGGCATCCCTCAGCAGAGGTGGTGCTGTCATTTCTCCAGTGGCAGTGTCTACAAGAGACCAGAACCTACCAAATTTCCAGAGAGGTACTACAGGTACTACCACAGGCACAAACTGCAGAAGAAAAAAAAAAAGAAAAAAAAAAAGAAGATGCTAGGAGAGGAGAGTGCTTGAGGGAAAACAAACAAAAAACCCCACACAACCAAACCTTATTAAAGCTTTTCTCCTTCCTCTGCTTAACAAGGAGAATGCTTAATTAAGTCATCCTTCAAGCCTTCCTGCTCACTCCAGCAATGCTCAGCATAAAACAGATACTTAACAATTTCCTTTGCAGCACAGGACATCTCAGTGGTACGATAATTTGCATACTCTAAAGGAAGAAGTGAAATTGCTGGTTCTCTGTTGTTGGACTTCATGCAGTGGGTAGGGACAGTATCAGCAGTAGGCACATTTTAGATTTGCTCAGTAATAAGGGAGAGCAGGAGGGGAAAGAGCAAGTTGCTGTTGAATCAAAGTCTAGAGCCTTCCCAAGGCAGGAGTTTTGACTGTTATGCACATATTTCTCAGTTTATTTGCAAGTCTCTTTCAGCTCATTAGGTCAGTTTAACTGGCAACTGCTGCTGATTTTAAGCCCAATTATAGTCACTTCTACCTGGTGACACAGCCACAGTTCTGTAGCCAATCCTCACCAATTAATGGCTTCAGAATTGCTAGACCCTGCTATTCGTAGCAATCTCAAGTTTGACCTCAGAGTCATAGTTTCCTGCTGGAATGTCAGCATTGTCTGTTTTCACTGGAACACGTCCCTGTGTGCTCTCTACTACCAAGACCACTTCTGTCTATTAAGCCGATATACATCTGGGAGGCAAGCTTTCAACTTTGACCCATCTTTAATAAAAAATACTCAGAGAATCATCTTTCTGGGATGAAACTATCACCAAGAACACTCAACTAGAATCCAGGCTTTTCTAAGGAATTTGTCCCCAACTCTTGATTAAGTTCTCATGGTCATGAGGGACCACAGCAATACAACAGTAGAATTCCCTCTTTTATTTATTTATTTCTGCTGAGTCTTTCAAACAAGAACGAACCAAAAGCTCCAATAAGCCAATGGTCCTCAGCACATCCATCCTGCACTTTAGGGGACACTGAGGAGGACTTTCAGCTATGCACATCCCAGGTAACCTGGCTTGACATGTCCACACTACACAAAGTGTACAGAGGCAGACCAGGAACCCAAACCCAAAGAGGGGTAAACACAAGACCCAAGCCACTGAGTTTGCAAGGAACTGGAGCACATGGATTTAAAAAAGTATTTGTACTTCTATTTCCTACCTCTGTGTATCTCTGAATTCCCCCAGGAAGCATCACAAGTGGCCTTGCATTTCACCAAAGAGATGATTTACTCTGACCTGGAACTCTGTTAAAAAGGAAGTCAGTTTGTTCCGAGCAAGATACTGTTTGTCGCAATTAGAGGAATTGGACTCTACAGGGAGAGGGATATAGAAATGCCAGGCAGAATGAAGACACTCAAGCTGTCTGGGTTTGAGTGTCATTGCGCAGAACATACAACACAGCTCTGGATTATTCAGTAGACAGAAAGGAAGTATTTGTCCCTGTAACTGAGCAACCACTGCAGAACTCACCAAAAGGTACAGCAAACCCGCCTGGGAAGGAGCTCTGAAACAGGGGGATGGATGTGGCAGTGCCAGGAGGGAGAAAATGCCCAAACTACAGTTTCCAGTCACTTTGCTGAACAACAGGTCAGGTCAATGCTTAAAAAGCACCTGCCAGCTGGTATATAGGAAAGTTTTCCATAACTGCTGTGATTCCACTGGATCATTAAACATGAGCTACAGGCAGCATTCACAGGCCTCACTAAACACCTAAGACAGAAAGGATGAAGCAGGGCTGCCAGACTGACCCAGTACAGCTTGTGCCCTGAACTGAACTTGTACAAAGTTGTCAGAAAACACCAAAGAATGCTCTGCCTCAAGCCTGACTGAATTAGCAGTGCCTTTGATAGAGAGCAGGAGTTCCAGTTGGAACTGCTTTGCTCCTCTCAGAATATGTAATGAAGTTTTTAAGCAAGACGCAGCAGCAAACCAACCTCCAGCTAGCACAAGGCTCTGCCCTGCAAGAGCCTCCTCCAGCAAGGGTTTTTTCTTGCAATGAATTAACAGTAGATTCTTGTGTAGGTCTTAGTGATTTATGTTTGTCTGGAACACTTATTTTAATACTATAACTAAAATCACCTTCAAAGAAGGTTAGAAATCTTTCTGACTGACAGCTGCCCATCCGCTCTGTAAGGCAGGAGAGCTCCAGGAAAGCACTGGACGTGTGCATCGGTAGGAGTCAGTGGAGAAACTCTGGCTGATGAAGAGTTCAGCCCAATCTTTAACTTTGCCTCCAGTAGAGGTTTCTATTTTTCCCTTTCCCCTTCACACTTCTCAGTCTCTACTAACTGAAGACACTGTTTTACTTACAACAGCAACTATGTGCCATCACACCAACAGTGTGGAAATCAGCAACTTTACAAGTTGCTTTTTGGGAAAAAAGAGGCCACACTACCGACAGTGGAGCATCTGCCTGGTGAAACAGCAGACCACCACATTCATTCAGACTTTCCACCACAAATCTGGGCCAGCTGATGCCCAGATCAACACAAGACACATCCCAGGTGAGGCACTGCTACACACGACTGTCAGACACAAGAGCCAAGTCCAAACTGCAAGTCTCCGAAATTCAGCAAGTGGAGAATTGGAGCCTCCTTGCCAAGTCCAGAGCCATGGACTTCCTGCCCATGCTGGCAGGCTCACACATCAGCCTGAAACCCCCTTGCACAGCTACTTGCCTGAGGGTAGGTGCCTGCTAACATACATAATCAGTCTCATCCTGAATCCAGGGCAGAATAATTTCTGCTCCAGGCAGTTCAGCACCGGGCCGGGTTCAGAGCAGGCAGAGGGGGAAAGGCTCCAGCAGGAGAGGGGTGTGTTGCTTTAGGAAGCAGATGTTCAATCAAACCTCCTCTTCAAATACCACCTGAGCTTCCCCACAAGCACAGACCAAAGAGCCAACCTTGAAATACCAGACCTGCACCTGCACTGCTGTTGACAGAAAGGCTGCCAGTACTCATCTTCTACAGGTAGAAGAGGTTCTGCTTGCATTGCATGAGAGAAAGCTCTGACAGCGCCAAGCCAGTGATGCTTTCTGACAGAAAGCTGCTGTCATTTTCTGCAACTCTTTCCCTAGGGTTTACCCTGAGGCAAGAGACCAGCAAAGATTTCCACTCCCCCTTACACCCCTCAAAGGTTTTGACAAAAAAAAAAAAGTGATCAAAGAGCCTTTGTGCATTTATAAACCCGTCAATTTTGCTAGAAGATTTAAGGCTTTAAAGAGTCCAAAACATCTACTTGAAATTTTCTATACAAACAGGTTTCTTAATATTTCAAAAAACCCAGAAATAAAATATTTAGATTTTTCTGAAATGAGGCATTCCAACAGCTCCAGACAGGAGCACTGGAGGGGAGGAGGAAATCCAATTCTCAAGTTTGACAGGAACAATTTCTTTTGTTTCTTTTAATTGGCAGAGAAACAAGACTACACAGCTATTTCTCCCCCTGGCTCTGACAAGAAATAGCTGGGATGAGCAGCACAGGAAACAACAAAACCAAACTTACTCAAGTGCTGCCAGTTTCAGGTTCCTGTCCCATGCCAGCTTGCCTCACAGGAAAGATTCCCCAAGCCAACAGTGCAGCAGTGTTTCACCCCACCATCCCACCTCTTCCCCTCTACCCACTCCCATTACCTTAAATTTTGCCTCCAAAACCCTCTCATGCAGAAGAGGAGGTTCCCCACCTGAAAACACAGCTCAGACAACAGAGGTTTTTAGAAACCTCGGCCTTTTTTACAACTTGTTTACCTTTATTTCTGGTTAGCCGGAAGAGTTGAGACGGGCAAACATTCGGCAACACCTTTCTTTCTCCTTTTCCATGTAGTCCCTGTAGCTGCTGCAAATTAGAGCACAGCATGGCATCATGGGCTGTGGACTTCCCACCCAACCATCACTGCCACAAACAGAAAACAAATATTTTTTCTATATAGCTACATTAGCCTAATGTAAGAGCGTGCTGGTAGCGAAGAGACAGCTCCTCCAAGCCCTTCTTTCTGCCCTGTCAGGGAAGGAGAGCTGGAAACATCAGGCCTCATCCCCAGACCTTGGGTCTCTACTCCACTGGTGACTATTAGCTAAGTAGATCATTTAACTTTTGGCAGCCACACGCTTTCTACACCAGTTTTGCAAGCATGTGGCAATGCAGAGGAACCCCCACCTGTATCCTGTGGTCTAGTTTCGTGTCTCCTCATTTGTGGCACTCCTTGTGCGAGCTCCTTCAGCACCTAGCAAGAAACATTGTCCAAGTGCCCTACTCCAGGGTATCTATCGCTGACACCAGGTCTGGGCAGAGGATGGGTAGGAGACAGCAGGGATTTTTGTCCAGATACATGGCAAACAGTTTCTCCATTCTTACTTCCCAGCGTCACAGGGCAAGCAGCTTACCAGACCGCTCCCTTTGAATCGCTGCTTCTCCAAGCACAATGTCCTCTGCGCCCTGTGCTCTCACCTCACTGGCACCAAGGTCTCACTGGTGAGGAATCCCTGAGCCAGAGGGTGACTCAGTCTGGGGACTGTCTGCATGGTTGGCTTTCCTGCATCTGCTACCATATAAGGGAAAACCTAAAGGTTTTTGTTGCAACACACCAGAATCAGCACAAGTGTGACACTGGCTAATGCTCTCTCAGCCCTCTGCCATCAGCACCCCGGGTCCAGAACCTCAAAAGGTGAAATTTTGCATTTCATAAATATTTCACTGTTCAGTGGAACCCCAGCCAGCAAGTCTCTTAAGTCTCAGACAGATGTTGCCACAACTGTCCACACAGCAGATGAGGGATGCCCACCCAGACAGATGGCATGCTCACACACCTACCACAGAGGAAACCCAAGAGCCAATGATTGTAAGCACAAATTCATGCCAGATGTTGGAACAACCTCATTTTGTTCTGGATTTGATGCAATGCAAGCCTTCAAACAAAAATGCCAAATGCAGCAGCAGAATTTGCACCAACAGCTGGTACAGACACATGTTCCACAAAATCCTCACTGCCTGTTCTCCAGTGAAGTGAATTTTGCCACAACCCCGATTCAGCTGTTAAAGAGATGCTTTTTAAAGTTTTGTTTTAGATAGCAGGAGGTAGCTGTTGATTAACACAAAACAGTCCTTTTTGCAAAGTATAAATATACTCGGTAAGGAAGTAAAAAGCCTCTAAGAACAAGATTTTGATTCGTATTCCATTTCTGAAGCATTTGTCAGATCCATTATGAGTTTTCTCAGGCAAGGCAGTTTGGCAACATCACAGCATCTAGGCCAAGATATGGCATAATTAACACCACCTGATAACATTGCCTTTGTCTATTTTATATTAGTTCTACTCTTTGTCATAGTAAAAGCAAAAAATACACCAGTTTAAACTGGCACTGAAGCAAAAACTTCAAGACAACAGTGGTTTACCACACTCAGCTCACTGACAAGGCATTAGCTGTACCAGCCGCTGTCTCCATAGAGCTGACAAACCTGCCTGCTGGAGGCACAATGCCTCAGTGCTTCCTGGCAGCACAACCTCAACATTATTAGCAAGATTCCTCTTTTACCTGCTAACATATTTCAAATGAGTCTAAGAGAACATATGAGGCTTCTAGAATCAGGAGTTCTAAGCACTGTGCCAGGGCTCTCTGACACTACCCACACACCACATCTCCAAGAGCAGCCAGAGCTATTTCATAACTACTTGCGCTCACCAAGCAATTTGGTAGCTACGGACCGAGGGGCAGATCAGGATGAATAGAAGTGGTTACTGCAGTCCTTCAGACCAGCAGCTAATACTGCCTTCAAGTTCTTTGTGCTTCAGAAGTAACAGAACAAGTCTGAGGCCTTAGCGTTATCACAGACTACTAAAAACAACGTGGATATGGGGGACATGGATGTGCAAGGACAACCCTGTACCAAACCACTACCTGGTGAAGGCACTCAGCTCACGAGACCAGCTCCTCCAGCTGCATCAACTCCTCTAGTAAGAGATGTTACTGCTGCCTACAAACCTTCTTGCAAATGCCTAGCAGCAACACACACACAAAAAAGGGTTCATATTTAAAGGCTGCTTTGTGATGTCTGAAGCTGGGGATGGCATCACCTTCTGTCTGTGAACAGCACCAGAAGGCAGCACACGTTTTGGGGAACCAGCTGGTGCTTTTCCCAGTTTCAAAGGGACGAGCAGAAAGAGGGCAGAGACTGGTGTTAGTCATGTTTTGGTGGGGCCAGGGCATGACTAACACTGGCAGGATTGTGCTGTACTCAGCCTGTGGGCACATGGAAGGTTTGCCTTCAGGATTGCTCACTTGTTACCTCCAAGACAGCACAAAATTCACTTTTAACAAACATTAGTATTTGTAGGATTGTAAGCTGAAGCACTTGCAATGCAAAAATGCTGCTGTAATTAACCAACACATCTTAAAGGGAATGAAAGTCATTAATCCAGAACATGACCAGCTCGAGCACCAACCTACTACATTTCATTGTGCTTGAGGCATGTCAGCAGCCCCTGCTCTCCGTCATCACCCTGAGCTACCCCCTCACAAGGGGCAGAACACACACATCCATCCCCCCAGAGAAACTGTATGGGAAGAGTAGGTGCTCTCAGCTTCACCTACCACCTGTAACCACTGCATCCGCAAAGTGTTTGAACCACCTGTGTCCACACCAAGAGAAACCTTCTGTATTTTCCCAAGTCACTTACTAACCCAAAAGTTTTGTGTTTTGGTTTTTTTTTTTGTTTTTTTTTTTTTTTGGAGGTTTTTCGTTTTTGTGGGTGGTTTTTTTTGTTTGTTTGTTTTTGTTGTGTTTTTTTTTTTTTTTTTTTTTTTTTTTTTCTGGTTTTTGAATTTCATGTATTTTCCCAAGTCACTTACTAACCCAAAAGTTTTGGGTTTTGGTTTTTTTTTTTTTTCATTTTAAATATTTTTTGAGTGGGTGTTCCAGGCACTCTCTCTTCCACAGGGATGGAAAGGAGTTCTCTCACCTTGCCAACTTTTTCAGCTCATTGTTAATATCATGGTTAAACGGCTGTAAGTGCTGAGCTCTGACCAGGAAATCCCGTGCTTTTTCATATTCTGTCATGCGGAGACAAGCCTGCCATTGAAAGAAGACAGATGCGTCACAAGATAAATATAGACTCACTGCCATCCTTCAGGACTGAAACATATGCAGCCACAAACATTTCCGAGACAGATCCAGGTAGCTCAGGAATCCCCCATGAAAAGATCTGTGTGACAGATTTACAGAGAGACAGATTTTCCAAAAGGTCAGATGCAGACAAACTGCCTTGACTGCTGCAGCAGCTCAGGAGGCCTGGCCCAGAATTTGGTTGTTCTCCTCAGTTCATTTGAGGCTCTCTCCAGTCACAGTCAAACCAGGGTGTTCCTTGATGTGGCTTTTAGAAGAATTTATTTTCACCCACCTGGCCACACCTGAACAGTGCTTTGGCATTTCTCTGGTCGATCTCCAAGGCCTTCTCCCCATACGCCAAAGCTCGGGCAGGACGTTCCAGTTTCAGGTAAGTGAGTGAGAGATTGAGGAGCACCAGCAACTTGGAAGCATCAATCTGACACCGCTCCTCCTCACTGGAAGGGCTGCGACTGAGGATGGAGAACGCCTGAGCAGACAGGAAAAAAGAACTAGCGCACAACAAATCTGTTATGGAGAGTGATAAATCCATCTTGTCAGCCAGCTACACCTATGTTCCTGTTTACCTAAGTCAGTTAAAAATAGTAATAACCAAAAATCTAAGTATACTTAGGCACTATCAGCATGACTAGCCAGTTCAGCCTACCGGTTTAGGATCCTATCAAGGAAAACAGCAGAAAAAAAAAAAATACTACACCCAGATTTTAAGGCCAAAGACAGAAAAGAAATCCTACAGAAAAGAAGGGCAATTTACATTATTTTTGTTACAAAGAAACACCAAGAAAAAAGCAACCCTAAATGGAAGGAAGAAAAGTCTCACAAAACCTCACTAGTTTTGGAATGAAGGCAGATGCTTTCCAGTTTGGGAATAGCCAAGTATTTTCCTGCCTAGAGAGGTTGTGGAATCTCTGTCCTTGGAGATGCTCAAAACCTGAACAGAGAGTCCTGGGAAGCCTCCTGCTGTGGCCGATCTTCCTTCAGTGGGGGCCTGGTCTGGACAACCTCCAGGGGTTGCCACCAGCCTCAAGTACTGTGTGACTCCCAAATGCAAGGCTAAAAGTATATTGGTCAGGATGCCAGCGGTATTTCCATTTCCAGATCGTGGGGATTCTAGACTACTTCTCAAAGCATTAACCAGCATGCTGCTGCGATACAAGGCCATGCTGTATTATTACACCTCCCAGCAGAAAATTGCCAGAAATGCTCCAGTTCAGCACTTGGCCACACAAACCACTCAGGGCTCTCACAGCTGCCGAGATGTACCATTCTGTCTCGGCTGGAGACCACAGGGAGCAAGCCTGAAAGAAAAGGGTTCTGCCTATTTTGGCTAATGCTTCTCCTCCTTCATTTACCATTGTCACTCACATAAAAGCAGGTGTTTAAGTTCTGTTCTTAAATAACAAACTATGCCTGGAAAATGTAATGAAGTTATTTGATCTCTAAATTGTACCTGTTATGGTAAGCTACAACTTAATAATCACTGCTTGCACAGTGTTTTCAGAACAGAAAACACATTTTTTTCTGGTATCATACCCTTTTGTATCTGTCTTTGGCACTCTCGAAGTGCTGCTTACGGTACAGGTAGTTGCCAAACTCTCTCTCCGTGTCTGCCACTTTCAACACCTTTTGTAGTGGAAATGTGTCCTGTTGCGCCTGTACAAAGAAATACCTGAACTTCAGCCCAAACAAAAGCAAACCAGAAGAGAGCTCCAACAGGAGAGTTCTGCACAGTCCCCTTCTGTTCACAGAGGAGGAGCCAGGCTGTGTCCAAGGCCCCTGCAGCGTCCAGCCAGGCAACCACCCTGTGGCATTTCCCTTCACCAGACTGAAACATGCCACTGTTCTTGTACTGATCACTCCTGCTGAAGAGTGCTACCAGGTCAGGAAGCTCACCAGGACCAAAGGGACTCCAGGGTAGGAGGAAAAAAAAGCAGAAATTAATTCTTAAATCCTGCCCAACTCTCTCACCTGCTCAGCACAGAGCAGTTTGTACAAATGCTACTGCTAGAACAAAAGGTGAAGCTGACTGAAAGGCTCCATTGTTCTAATGGCTCAGCATCACCCAGGGTGGTTGCCTCAGGCCAGCTTTGGGACCATCCTGACACCCACACAGGACATCAAACCAGCAAAACAAACAAAAACCCCACCAATAATAAAAAAAAAATAAAAATCCATAGAGAGTTTTTCTCCTGGGTTTCCAAGTTTGAACCAGCTCACAGAGAGAGGTCAGTTAGCCAGAGAGGGCAGGCAACTGGCAAGAAGGGGACTAAGCTCTCTCGCAACGAGTGTGGTTTGCTCACAGGGCTACGTGCGGACAAAGCGGTCTGTGCAGCAGCAGTAGGGAATGCAGAGGCCTCCCCCACCAGCACTGCTGCCTGTGCCCCACTCACTGACCCACAACCACAGCCCAAAGCCCTTTACATGAAAAGGGGGAATTAACAATAACACCGTAACTCACCAGGGAGGAAAGCGAAGAGGGAAGGAGCACTTGGGAGAGCAGCCAAGAAGCAAAGACAAAGGCTGGGGGGGTGAGGGGGCAGCACTTGAATGCTGTGTACTGAACAGGATTTTTTTTTTTTTTTTCAGACAGCTCATTACTGTTCCTTCAGAGAAATTCCTAGAGGCTTGTGCCCTCTAGTGAAGCCATGGGGTTTCTTGTAAAGCTAAAAATAAACCGAAGTTGTTCCACAGACTCCAGCACAAGGGAGCAAACAAAGGCAGCACCCAAATTCTCCGTCTGCACAGGAGGAGGGCAAACGGAGGACAAAGCACAGCGGCAGCATCAGAGGACACACATTTGTATCAGCAGTGAGCTGGCAGCCCAGGGTCTGGGTAACTGCACCTGCATTTAAGCTAAACATACGTAACACATGAGCAACAGCAAGACAGACAACAGGTTTGGTCTCAAACCTTATTAAGGCAACTCACAGGAGTCAACTCAAAGAATGCGTCAGATTCTTCTGAGTCTAGGAAGTCCAGCACCTCCACTTCAAACATCACTGTAGCATTTGGGGGAATGAGAGGAGGACAGCCCTGCCGCCCATAGGCATAATCTGGTGTGAAGACAAATCTTGCCACCTCTCCCTTCTTCATTGTCAGCAGGGCAACTTCCAGGCCCAGCAGTGTGATCTCTGTCATAACAAGAAATGGAAGGTCCTGAGAATCACAAACCTGGAGACCCCCTCAGACTCCAAAGAACAAAACTTGGAGTTTTTTCTGCAAGAACTCCAAAAAAAAAAAAAAGTCTTTCTGCAAAAGCCTGGAGGAAAAGGGTCAACAGCCCCGTTATGGCTTATCAAGGCAGTCTGCTGTGGGGACCAAGCACACCATAAACAGTGACATCTCCTCTCACGTGATTTGAAAAACACCAAGACAAGGAGCTGCCTCTGGAGGCAGGCAGCAAGTACCCCCCACTGTGCCACCAACACCATGGGCACCGTTGCTTGCTCCCGCAGTCAGTTCCAGACTGACCATCACCTGTGTGAAGCAGGAGGCTTTTGGACTCCATTAACAAGTTTTAAAGGTTTCAACTAACCTAAAAATACTAAAAAGCCCTTAAATTAACATGCATTAATGGGCTGGCCTGTATAACCCTCAGTCCCAGGACAAACTTTTTGGCTGAAACCTACCTTTTCCAAGTTTCATCAGCCTAGGAGACCTGCTGTAGCAGTTCGTGCAGAAGGGCTCATCGCAGTGTTCCAGGTACCCGGAGTACTTCACTGCAGCCCAACATAAGGAGCGGAGAGAAAAGCAAGAGTATGATTTCATATCCAGTAACAGTACCATTGGAAGCACACCAGGAGTTGGTTTTGCAACAGCAACATCACCCTTTTATCCTGCTTTTCTTCCTTCCTTCTGCTGTAGGAGAGCAGAGGCAGCACGAACTACCTTCTCTCTGTACCAAAAACCTGGTCACATCCAATTAGCCAAGTAGTGTTCGCTGTGTTTTAACACCAAATAAAACAGCTGCTTCACAGCCTTGATGCCTCTCTAATCAAGAGATGTGATTTGGTGTTTCTAAGAATTGGAATGGAAACTTCAGCCGCCGAAATTAAAACACCCCAATTATCTGCAGAAATACATAATCAAGCCTTTCCCAAGCTAAGCTGGAGCCCTAGAAAGAAAAACAAAGGGAAAATGTACACCTCCAAGCTTGCCCACTAGTCAGTAACTCCAGTGCTCACTCAGTTAGAAAACCCACTGTAATGGGCTTCCCTGGACATGACATGAGGTCCAATTCAGGAACCACTTTCAGCTTCAAACTCTGTACTTTGAATACAGGTGGGACCTGGAAATCCTGCTTTTCTCAAGGTCAGGATGCCCTTTCATTTAATCTGTCAGCCACAAGAAGTTAAACAGAGTATCCCAAGTGCTGAAACACCGATAAGGGAGAGCAGTCTCTGAAACAGAAATACATGCTACTGTATAATATAAGCACTTTTAAGTTCTTGTTCTGATCTCATGCTGAAGCCCAAAGCACTCAGATTTGCCAGCCACCAGCAACTCAACATTAGAAGTCCAGGGGTTCTTTTACAACAGCTTCTGTCCTCTCCATTTCCCCCAGCTCACACTTCAGGTCCAGCCACAAAGACCAAAGCAAGGACCTTGCACAGAGGCATAAATGATACAGAGCAACATGAGACCCCAAGTTCACACTACACATTTAAGGATTTTAGGTTTTTTTAGTCCAGATTAAATTTAACAACTGCCATTTATAACACAAGCAGCTCATGAAATGGTGAGTGGAGCCCGCAGGCTCCCAACAAAGCAGGGCATGATGTTACTGCTGAGTGTGCCCAAAGCCCTGGGGAGCAGTGCTGTGAGCTCACGCAGCACCTGCTGCGGGACACCCGGCTGGCAGCAGGGCATGGCGGGCACAGGGCGCTAGGCAAGGTGTGAAAGCCAGCCTGGGCCCTGTCACCTGGGGGAGTGTCCAGTACTGCCACCCAGTCTCCTGCAGCCCATGGGGGGAGCAGCAGACCCCGAGTCCACCCAGAACTGTAGGCCCTACAGCCCCACCAGTACCTGCCACGGAGGCGGCCAGGGGGACAGCCTGCCCGCGGCCAGGGCGCAGCTCCTCCTTGCGCACCCCACCATCGCCACTCAGATCGTGGGCCCGTGCCAGCCACGGCCAACCCTCAGGTCTGACCCGATCCTCGCCCGCCATGTTCCTCCTCCTACTGCTGCCGCCGCCGTCTCCCATCGCCCACCGCCCCGCGTCCTCTTCACCAATCACCGCCCAGCCCACACTGCGCCTTCAGCCAATCACGCTCCGAGGAGCGATCACCTCCCAACACGATGCTGAAGAGCCACGCGCCGGAGCCTCTCGGGGAGGACACGCCTCCGCGCACCCACCGGCCAATGGGCGCCTCACGGGGCTGGGCAGTGCATCTTGGGGGATGTAGTCCGCGCCGCCCCGGCCTGTCCTGTGGCGCCCAGCCGTTCCACCGGGCCCGCGAGGCTAAGCACCCTCCAGCGGGCATTGTTTCCCTCAGGGTCCTGCTGGGCATGGCTGCTCGCAGGCCGGGGCCGGGTTTCCCCCGCGGACCGCCGGCAGCAGCCCCAGCACCCAGCCCGCAAGCCTGGGCCCGCTCCCCCGAGCCGGGCCTGTGGGGAGGCCCTGGGCTCTGGCGCTCCCGCGGCAGCAGGAAAGGCCCCTTCGAGAGAGGGACGTCTCCGTCCGTCCCCAGCCGCCCCCCAGGGGAGCGCGTGCTGCACCCCCGCTTTACAGCGCCCGCAGCCTGAGACCAGGGGTGAGTGGGCTCAGGGCCAGTCTCTTTGCCTCCGGCTCCCCCGCCCCGCGGCCTCCCCCGGGCCTGTCTGAGAAACCTTCCTCGGGCCCAGCTCCCCCGGGCGGTGCTGAGAGGGCAGCTGCGGGCTGGCTCCACGTCGGGAAACCAGAGTAATTACAGGAGAAACCATGTTGTGCAGAGTGCGTCAAAAGCCGGTGTGTGCCCTGCCCCACACAGGAGGTGCGATGAGTTTGGGTTTCCTTCTGGACTTTTTCAAAAGAATGAAACGTTTTCTCCAAACAACAAAAAAACCCCACTGTTCCAACCACAAAAAAAGAGCTTTAGTTTATAAGAAAGTGTTTTCATACAAATATAGAATGGTTTAGGTTGGAAGGGAACTTGAAGATTGCCTATTCCACCCCCCTGCCCTGGGCAGGGACACCTCCCACCAGACCAGGTTGCTCCAAGCCCCCTCCAACCTGGCCTTGAACCCCTCCAGGGATGGGGCAGCCACAGCTTCTCTGGGCAACCTGGGCCAGGCTCTCACCACCCTCCTGGTGAGAAATTTCTTCCTGAGATCTCATCTCAATCTCCTCTCTTCTAGCTTGAAGCCATTACCCCTCATCCTATCACTACAAGCCCTTGTAAAAAGTCCCTCCCCAGCTTTCCTGTAGGCCCCCTTCAGGTACTGGAAGGCTGCTGTAATGTCTCCCCAGCACCTTCTCTTCTCCAGGCTGAACCCCCCCCAACTCTCTCAGCCTGTCCTCACATCAGAGGAGCTTCAGACCTCAGAGCATCTTCATGGCCTCCTCTGGCCCTGCTCCAACAGTTCCATGTCTTTCTGCTGTTGGTGGCCCCAGAGGTGGAGGCAGCATTGCAGGGGGTCTCCTCAGAGCGGAGCAGAGGGGCAGAATCCTCCCCTCATCCTGCTGGCCACGCTGCTAGGGATGCAGCCTGGGGTGCGGGGTGGCTTTCTGGGCTGCCAGTGCACATTGCCAGGTTGTGTTGAGCTTCTCATCCACCAACACCCGCAAGTCCTCCTTAGGGCTGCTCTCCAGCCATTCTCTTCCCAGCCTGGTTTTGTGCTTTTTCTGAGAATGTTTCTGCTGACCCAAGCAGAGTGGATGAGTGAAACCCCAGCGGGACTTGGGGAGCTGGCCATTCAGGGAGGCAAACACCACCAGCTCTTATCAGGGCTCCAGTCATATGATGTGTGTGCCCGTACCCATGCGGCAGGGCAATGGGCAGCCCTTCACGGGGGTGTGTCACCCTTCTCAGAGGGGGACAAGAGGCTGCTTGGACTTTTCCTGGCAGGCAGGGACGACCCCAGCGGGGCTGAAGCTGCAGGAGGGGAGCAGCTTGGTTCCCCATCCAGCCAAGGGGCCACTAGTCCCACCACTTGCCTCATCCACCCCTCCGACAGGTTGGAAATCTTCAGCTGGATCAGGAGAAGCCGTGACATCTGTCAGACTTGGTGCACTGGGACGAGCAGAGCCCAAGCTGGGTCCAGGAGGAAGCAGTGCAGGACACGTGAGTGGTGTGGCAAGTGGGAGGCTGTCATTCGGGTCTCCAGGAGGTGTTTCTGTGAGAGCAGGGAGAGCAGCCTAAGCTGGTTCCCCCGTACAGGGTCCTATAGTGTCTGCTGGGTCACAGGCTGACATTAAACCTTTCCTTGATTCACCAAGCTCCTATAGCAATGTATGATAAATGCTGAGCTCAGGTCTCAGCCTCCCCTTTCCTCAGGGAAATTACTACGTCTCTGACTGAAGGTTTATTTTCTTCAACTTCAGGTCATGTCTTTGACTGTCCCAGATCTTGGTAGTTGCATCCCACAGTGCCAGGGGTGCATGGACCTTATAGCTGTTGAACAGGCTGGCCATGTGCATACCCAGGGCCGGGGGAGAATTGGGCTTGTGTCTCTTGGGAGTGCTGGCCGGGAATGTGGAGGACCAGAGATCACAGTGTGTTTCAAGGGGGTGAGATGCAGTCACAGCCCTGCTCGCTGTGCCTCAGATTCCCAACCCTCGTATTGGTGGAATCCAGCCTCATGGGTGTGTTACTGCATGGTGGTTGTCCGTCTCCTAGATAAATGTGCTCTTTATTAATTTCCTTCTGCTTTTGCTTAGATGCATTGAGCTAATGCCAGTCCTTCTGAGGATGTCCATGGCTGAGACAATAAGCCCAAAGAGACGTGTAGGAATTCATACAGGCCATACTATTGGAAGTTTTCAGCAGAAAATCTCTCTCAGCTCTGTCTCCAGCCCTGACACACAGGCAGGTCTGCCCTGAGGTGGGCTGCAGTCTGATGCCCCTGCCAGGGAAAGGCCCGAGGTGGGGCTGGATTGGTGTTGTGGATCCAACAGGCATGGACCACACCAACAGGTGTGGTCTCATGTCTCCATCATGGGGTAAAACAAACATCTCAGACTTTGCCTGGAGCCTAATGATGAGTTTGCAACTGTCTGCACTGCTGCTGGGGGGTGGAGGTGTCTCTTCATTTCACTTTCTCTCTGTCTTCACTCATCTCTGCTTATCTTGCTCTTGGGACAGAACTGATCTCCCACTCACGTTTCCTAGGTCAGGTCTGTGCTGTTGCTTGGGAAGGAGCAGGATGGCTCGGAGAATGAGCATCAACGAGCTGGAGGACCAGCTCCTCTGTCCCATCTGCTTGGAGGTCTTCAAGGAGCCCCTGATGCTGCAGTGTGGGCATTCCTACTGCAAGTCCTGCGTAGTGTCACTCTCTGGAGAGCTGGATGGGCAGTTCCTATGCCCTGTGTGCCGCCAAACCGTGGACTGCAGCGCCTCGCCACCCAATGTCACACTGGCCCGTGTCATTGAGGCGCTGCAGAGCTGGGGTGAGGCAGAGCCCACCCCGGAGTCCTGCCCGACGCATCAAAACCCCCTCAGCCTCTTCTGCGAAGCTGACCAAGAGGTGATCTGTGGGCTGTGCGGCACCATTGGCGACCACCGCCAGCACCGGATCACCCCCATCTCTACCGCATACTGCCGGATGAAGGTTGGCAGGCAGAGCTGGCTGGGGCCCTGGGGGTGGGGGTGAGGGCACCTGCAATGCTTGCTGGACAAATGTCCCCTCTCCTTCAGGGGACAGGCTGGAAACGATGCCAGTGTGGGGAGCATGGTCCCATGGCATAGCCAGATGTGGGGCAGGGTCCCTGGGCTGGTGGGCAGCTGTTTCTTAAGCTGAGCATGTCCCTGCTGAGTGGGCTCATGGTTTTGGTGGGTGAACTGCAGTGGAGAGAGCCGGGGGTCAGGGAGTGCCGGCGGGGTCTTTCAAGACTGTTTCCAAATACCATCAAAGAGAGTCTGGAGATAAGGGCTGAGGCAACGTGCCGCAGGGGAGCAGGGAGGCAGGGAAACAGGAGCCCCAGACAGGCAAACAGCCAGTGTCCCCTGCCCAGCACCACATGAAAGCCCCAGGAATGGAAAAGCACAGGGCCACCCGTCCCCTCTGCTCCTGACACCGGGGAGATAAGAGCAGGAGGCACCAGAAACGCTCCTGCCCCAGCCAGGCTCCCAGCACTGGGAGGGTGCTGTCAGCCTGGTGCTGCCTCGTGGCTGCTTGCCTGGTGCAGAACTGCCATGGGGTGTGAGACATGGAGGGCTGGGAATGGGAGTGGAGACACGGTGCTCCTGGCAAGAGTACTTAGTGCTCTGTGTGGCCATGCTCTGAGCAGTCTCCAGTCTCCTCCCAAGTCCTCTAGATCAAGAGAGTAAAGATCAGCAGGATGAGCGGGGCCCCAGAAAGCTTAGCGAAAGCTTAGGAGAACATGACTTCTGAAGGCCATGTGCTCCTCGAGGGGGTGACAAGCACTGCTTACAATAGAGGAGGCTACCACAGAGATCTGTCCTACAGAGGTGCTGTCTTTTCAGGAGGAGCTGTCTGTGCTGCTGACCGACATCCACCAGTACAAGAAAAACCTGGATGAACACTTCAGCAAGCTCATCAACAACAAAAGCCGCATTGCAGTGAGTGTCACGTCCAAAGGGAGCCTGTGTTCCTGAGTCCTCTGTCCCCACCACAGCCCCTGGAGCAACCTCTGCTCCTGGGTCTTCCCAGCTCACTCCTCTACTCCTCTCCTTCTCTTCCCCCTTCCTGGGGATAGCAGACAGGGCTTATCTTCCACCCTGTTCCCTGAGGTTTGTATTCTCCACGAAACTCAGGGATTAAACATAGACCTGTTTTTGGGAATGGTGACATAGCCCTCTCTGGTGACACAGCCCTGTTTTCAGAAGGGTGATGTAACCCTCCACAAGCACCCTGGCAGGAGCAGCACTTGGAGCTGGTTTGACCGAATGTCCTTGGAGGTGGGGAGATAACAGGTGGGAAGGGCCCCACTCGGAGCAGGCTTCCCATCAGAGCAATGCCAGTGGTTTCCCACTGAGTTTATGCCTGGTTTAGCTGTGCGTCCCTTTCCCAGGCAGTAGACATTTCCAAGGGACCTTGTGGCATCCCTTCTGAGGCTAAAGCTTCCCAGTGGGGCTCCTCAGAAGGGCTCAACCCAAATGCAACTGGAGCTGCACTTTCTCCCCCTCAGCCCAGGACACAGGTTGTTCCCTGGGAGCAGAGGGATCCAAGAGCTCTTTCAAAGCCCTGACAAAGCTGCTAGGGACATCAGGAAATCAAAGTCTCAGGGAGGAGAGGTGTAAGGCAGGGGTGCCATGGTGCTGAGCTGCTGAGGACAACAGGATGAAACAACATCTAGCCTGATACACAGAGCTGCTCTTTATTTGGAAAGCCAGTGGAGGGTGGCTTGGTGGGACACATTGACATTGCTGGTATCATCTCTGAAACTAAAGACCAGGTGAAGGGGATAGAGTAAGGCAGTCCTGCAAATCCGCTTGTCATCTCCTGGCAGAATGAGGCAGATGTCTTCAAGTGGGTGATCCGGAAGGAGTTCCAGGAGCTGCACAGGTACATCGATGAGGAGAAGGCCACCTTCTTGGAGAGCATTGAGGGGAAGGCAGCCCAGCTCATCACCTCCATTGAGTTCCAGGTCAAGCAGACATCAGACGCTCTGCAGAGGCTTAAGGAGATGCAGAGCTCTCTGGAGGCCCTTGGCAACGAAAGCCAGCTTGATTTTATCCGGGTGAGTGCACTTGCTAGTGAAGGCAGTGACAGTCAGCCAGGCTCTCCAGCCCTGAGGCTGCAGCTCACAGCCCTGAGCCCTGCCCTGGGCAGCAGGTACTCTCACCAAGCACAGCTGGGATACCATGAGAAGTGAGATGTAGGTGGCCTCTATCCCACTAGAGCTTCCCCTGGTGGGAGAGACCTGGCATCCACAAGAGGCAGTGCCTGCAGTTCTTCCAGGAGAGCCCTGGCCTCTCCAGCTCAGGGCATGGATGTGTGAAGCTGTGACCACACAGAGGAGCTGTTGTTCTGTCAGTCTCCCACCCACTGACTCTCTATTTCTCTTATGTTTTACAGAAATATGGCTCCTCCCAGTTCAGGTGAGTGGTGGGACCCAGCAGCAATGGATGGCAAAGACTCTGGAAAAGGGCTAGAATTTCCAGGCCAGTGGGCAGCTCGGCATTGCTGGGGTAGCCTCACATGGAAACTGCTCTTGTGATGGTTTGCCACAGCTAGGGCCATGTACTCAGTCCCAGAAGAGGGCAAGAGCAGCTGGTGAGACAGCTCTATCATACACAGCAGCCAGGTGAGAGCAGGTCACACACTATCCCCGTCACCTGTGTCACAGCTGTCTGTGTCTTTCCAGGACAGAGCTTCTCAACCTGCACCCAGGCGATGGCCTCTTTAGCCCCGTGTCCTTCAAACCATGTTTCCACCAAGATGACATCAAGATGACTGTGTGGAAGCGCCTGCACCGCCGTGTCCTGCCAGGTACCAAGTGCGGCATCCTGTGTTTCGGTCAAAACAACCCCAGGCAATGCTGCAGGCTTGGGGAAGAGTGGCTGGAAAGCTGCCCAGCAGAAAAGGACCTGGGGGTGTTGGCCAGCAGGAGTAGGGCAGTGATAGTGCCCCTGTACTGGGCACTGGTGAGGCCTCACCTTGAGGGCTGCGTTCAGTTCTGGGCCCCTCACCACAGGAAGGACATTGAGGTGCTGGAGCATGTCCAGAGGAGAGCCACCAAGCTGGGGAGGGGTCTGGAGAACAAGTCGTACGAGGAGGGGCTGAGGGAACTGGGCATGTTTAGTTTGGAGAAGAGGAGGCTGAGGGGAGACATCATGGCCCTCTACAACTCCCTGAAAGGAGGGTGTAGAGAGGCGGGGGTTGGCCTCTTCTCCCAAGGGAATAACGACAGGACCAGGGGAAATGGTCTGAAGTTGCAGCAGGGGAGGTTTAGATTAGATACTAGGAAGAATTATTTTACTGAGAGAGTGGTCAGGCACTGGAACAGCCTGCCCAGGGAGGTGGTGGAGTTGCCATCCCTGGAGATACTTAAGAAATGTGTAGATGTGGCACTTCAGGGCATGCTCTAGTGGCTGAAACTGTGGGTGTCTTTTGTGTGTGTATGGTTGGACTTGGTGATCTCAGAGGTCCTTTCCAGCCATGAAGATTCTGTGATTCTGTACTGACCTGCCCCACTGGCAGTGCGCCAGGTGCCCTAGCTGGGTGTGTAGGACAGGCTGCCCAGCCAGTGTTGTGCTGCCCTGGCCTCTGTCTTGCTCTCTGCTGGTGTGGTCCTTGCCCCCAGGAGAGCTCCGGGAGCAGTGGCTGGCCATGTCTTGTGCCGGTAGCAGCCTGCTCTGGCATAACACTCCAGCTGCTTAAAGCTCAGCAGTGCCAGCTTGTCCAGCTGTGCCAGCCCCCAGGGTTGCCCGGAGCCGGAGCCCTGCCTGCTACTGTGCCTGGAGCCTTCCTGCTTTCCTTTTAGCTCCAGAGATGCTGAAGCTGGACCCAGTGACAGCGCATCCTCTCCTGGAGCTCTTCAAGGGTGACACGGTGGTGCAGTGCGGGCTCTACCAGCGCCGGGACAGCAACCCAAAGCGTTTCAACTCCAGCAACTGCATCCTCACCTGCAAGGGCTTCTCCTGCGGCCAGCACTACTGGGAGGTGATTGTGGGCACCAGGAACCACTGGCGTGTTGGCATCATCAAGGGCACAGTCAGCCGCAAAGGGAAGCTCAGCAAGTCTCCTGAGAACGGCGTGTGGCTTATCGGCCTGAAGGAAGGGAAGCTCTATGAGGCCTTCAGCACCCCACGGGCCACCCTGCCGCTGACCACCCGGCCCCAGCGCATTGGCATCTACCTGCACTACGAGAAGGGCGAGCTAACCTTCTACAACGCTGACAACCCCGATGAACTCACCCCCATCTACACCTTCCAGGCGGAGTTCCAGGGCCAGCTCTACCCCATCGTGGACCTCTGCTGGCCGGAGAGAGGGCCTTACTCCCCCCCCATCATTCTACCTGCACCCACTGCGAGCCAGCACCCCCGGGCACCGTACAACCATCCTGCCCCAGAGGAACCCACGAAGCCATAGCCTGGCCGGCAGGATGAGGCTGTGGCCGGGGAGGGCTGTGTCTGAGTCCTGGGAGCCTGCAGCAGAGAAGAGTCAGGCTGTGTGCAGGATTGTCCTCTGGTGGAAGCTGTGGTACTGCCGAGTCAGCTTCAGCAGCACAGGAGGGTCCTTCCCCTCTCCTCCAAGAGCATAAAATATCAGCCTCAACCTGTGAATCCCTATCTCCAATCTGGCAGGCTGACCCAAAAGCCTAAATCACAGCTGGCCTGCGAAGATCTCCCTATGGAAAGGAGCACCTGCCTGAAAAGCATGAGCCGTGAGCATCCAGGGGTCTTTGTTCACATATCTGTCTTCTGAATAAATTGAGTTTGTGTTAGATGAGCTGGTTGCTGGCTAACATGGGTACTGCCTCTGAGGAACCCCACTGCAGCTGGAGCTGAGCGGGCAGGCACAGTGCTCTGCGGAGGGGCTGCTGGGAGGGGAAAACGGGAGCCAAAAAAGCAGCAGCAGAGTGTGGTTTGCCTCCTCAGCCTCCGGCAGGAGGACACTGCCTGCCCAGGGCAGTGCCTCTCCAGCAGCTCAGGGATGTGAGGTGGCACAGGGAACCACGCACACAGCCTGGACACTGCACCTGGGGACAGCGTGAGGGGCTGAGGCAGCGTGAGGGGAGCAGTGCTGGGTGCCTGCAGACTGTGGGGAGCACGGCCCAACTGGCTCAGCCACCCCGCGCGCTGCCCCTCGGCACATCGGCCTTCCCACTAACCGCAGAGTCACTGAGGGGTTTGTCACCAAAAGTCACAACTGATCCGTGCCAACCAAGGAGAAGCTAGGACACAAAACATACCATGACTATTCCTGCACATGAGGCATTAACCACCAAATCGGGGCACCTGAATGTGGTTTTACACGGGGTTCTTACACCCTTCAGTTGTTGGGGTACAACACAATTGGATCATCCATAACACCTGCACCACTCATTATTAATCACAGTAAAACTTTGCAAATCAATGGTATTTCACAGACTCATAGACTCCCAAGTTGGAAGGGACCTCAGGGATAATCTGGTCAAACCTTTCTTGGCAAAAGCACAGTCTAGACAAGATGGCCCAGCACCCTGTCCAGCTGAATTGTGGAAGTGTCCAATGTTGGGGAAGCCACCCTTTCCCTGGGGAGATTATTCCAGTGGCTGATTGTGAAAATTTTTTCTTCTAGTGTCCAATTGGAATCTCGCCTGGAATAACTTGTACCCATCACCCCATGCGACTCCTTGTAAAAAGGGAGTCTCCATCTTCTTTGTAGCCACCCTTTAAATACTGGAATGTGGTGATCAGGTGTCCCCTAAGCCTTCTTTTGTCAAGGCTGAAAACACCCAGTTCTCTCAGCCTTTCCTCACATGCCAGGCTTCCCAGTCCTTGGATCAACTGGTGGCCCTTCTCTGGATGCTCTCCAGCCTGTCCACCACTTTTTTGGATAGTGGGGACCAAAACTGGACACTGTATTCCAGATGTGGCCTCATAAGCACTGAGTGGAGCAGGATAATGACTTCTTTACCTCTGCCAGTGATGCCCTGGTTGATGCAGCCCAGCATCTTGTTGGGTTTCTTTGCCGCAGCAGCACACTGTGCACTTATATTGAGCTGCTTGTCCTCCAGGTCTCTTCCACAGAGCTGATTCCCTGCTGGGCAGATCCCAGCCGTGCTGCAGGCCTGGATTGTTTTCCCAGGCACGAGACCTTACCCTTGTCCTTGTTGAACTTCGTAAGGTTCTCGTTAGCCCCCTCTTCCAGCCTATCCAGGTCTTCCTGCAGGGTGGCTCTCCCTTCCCAAGTGTCCAATTCCCCGCTCCGTTTGACACCAAGAGGGAACTTCCTCAGCGAGCAGCGTGATCTCTGCAGCGCTCCTGCTGCTGCTTGCTCATCCCCGCATCCCTGGAGTCGCTCTGGCTGGGACGGCGGAGGACGCCGGGGGGGTTTCCAAGACGTTACCAGAGCCCCGGGCGGCAGCCCCGGACACCGGCGGTACCGCTGGGGACCCGGGTGTACCTCACCCCTCATGGCAGCTCGGAGCTTCCCCAAACCGAAGTCCTTTTCCCCAGGCCCGGACCTTGCTTTACCTCAGCGTGAACAACGCCCGAGCCCCCAGTGAAGCCCCACCGCGCCGCTTCACCAGCACACGTTAATTAACGCTAATAGCCGCTCCGCGCCGCTGTAACCCCGACCTCCGCCTCAGGCCCGCGCGCCCCCTGCCGGCGGGAGGCGGCACGACCGGAAGTGGCGGCGGCGGCGCACGAGGGAAGATGGCGCTGTACAGCGCGGCCGCCGCCGTCCTGGAGGGGCTGGAGCGCGGCGATGGCGGCATCAAGAGCCTGGTGTACAACAGCCGCTTCCCGGTGCGGGGGCGCGGGGCCGGGAAGGGCGGCGGCCCGGGGGAGGGGGGTTAGACTCAAAGCGGGGAGACCCGAGGGCGGGTAGGCCCGAGGAAGGGTGGGCCCGAAGAAGGTAGGCCCGACGTGGGGAGGCCCGGGGTAGCCGGCGGTGGGCCCTGCCGCTGTCCCTGGCAGCCCCTGACCTCCCCACAGCATGTCCGGCAGCTGTACGCCCTGGTGTCTGAGACGCTCCGCTACTCCCCGGTGCTGGAGAAGGTGCTGGCTGGCGCCGCGCTGCTGCAGGCCGAGAAGAAGCTGCCCCCGCAGCTGGCGAAGGTAAGAGAAGTCCGGGGGTGGCTCTGGGACGGCGGGGCCGGGCTCACTTATGTCCCCACAGGTGCTGGTGTATGACCTGCTCTTCGGCAAGGGCCTGAAGTGCGGGGGCCGCTGGAAGGCTCTGGCCCGGCGGCACCAGACCCGGCTGGAGGCCGAGCTGGCCCGCCTGAAGGTGCAGCAGAAAGTGAGCTGCAACGAGGACCTCCTGGCCCCGGTGCAGGCAGCGAGCCCTGGAGGTGAGTGGGGCTCAGGGCCAGGTGCTCACCCAGTGCTGATAGCAGCGAGAGGTTGTGTCTGACTTGACCAGATTCTCCAGCCTCCCAGGTACCACGCTACGTGCGAGTCAACACTCTGAAGACTTGTGTGGATGATGTGATTGACTTCTTCAAGCGCCAGGGCTACTCCTACCTGGGCAAGGCAGCTGGGTAAGTGGTTCCTTGTGCCGTCCCACCTTATCTGGGATGTCAGCGAGCAGCAAGGGCTTGGGACAAGGTCCTGTGGGTAAGAAGGGTTGTTGGTCTTGGTGCTAGTGGGGGGCAGGTTGGGGTCTCTGTCACTCTTCGTTCTTACTTTCCACCTCTTTGGGTGCTGCCTGGTGCCAAAGTGGAGAGGAGGCCTAGGACAAAAAGGTTTCTCTGCCTGGGTGCTGGTGTGGGCACAGTGAAGCAGGACTGTGTATTCATCCTCCTTGTGCTTTTTGGGCAGCGTGGAGGAACTGAGGGCCCTCTCCGGAAAGAAATTCTTGTCGGATCTTCATCTCCCAGAGCTGCTAGTTTTTCCTCCACAGACTGACTTCCACAACAACCTACTGTACACTTCAGGACACATAATTCTGCAGGACAAGGTGCGGGTGCTGGGGACCAGGAGGCTGCAGGGGTGGGAAAACCACTGACATGGGTGGAGGGTTGGCCCCTTCCTAGTTGCTGAGGCCTGGGCTTGGGCTCGAAGCAGAAATTGTGAACGCAGCCTGCAGCCGTGGGGTTCCCCTGCAGCTTTGCTTCCATAGCCTGTAGGTATGTGATGAATTGCTCTGAACTGGGTTGTAAAAATGCCCTGTAGGAGCTGGGGAACTGCAGCTGGGATTGTCACAGGGCTGTGGGCCGGGCAGAGACTTCCAGTGCTGGATGGTGGTGGTGGTGATGGACTTGTCTCCATATCAAGGTGGGGCCTGGAGTGCTTGCTGCCTGCTCCTATCACAGGGCTTTGCCCTCTTGCAGGCCAGCTGCCTCCCTGCGTTCCTCCTCAGCCCGGCTGCTGGCTCCCACATCATCGATGCCTGTGCTGCCCCGGGGAACAAGACCAGCCACCTGGCTGCCATCCTGAAGAACAAGGGGTGAGGGCAGGTTTGTGTACTGGGAGGGAAGGGGTGCAGGCAGTCCTGGTCCCCCTGAGCCCACAGAGAGCACAAGGAGAAGGTGGCAGGAAGGAGCCTGTCACCCTGCCCTGCTAACTCAGGTTGATGCCCACTTCTCCCTAGGTAGGTTGGGGGCTCTGATAGTGCTGGGCCGTTGGAAGGGTCTGAGGGGACATGAGGTCATGTTGGGATTCACTTCCCAGCCCCTGTCCCCACACTCTGCCTGAGGCTGACTCCTGCCTGGGGGAGCAGCTCCCAAGCTCTGCCGGATTGGCAGACAGCCAGTGTTTGGGGCTGCTGGGGCAGCCTGCTGCTGTCAGCACGGTTCCTGGGGCCAGGGAAGATGTTTATGCCTCTCTTGGGTGCTGGGCTCTGCCTTCAGCCAGATCTTCGCCTTTGATGTGGACACCAAGCGCCTGGCCACCATGAACACCATGCTGATGCGAGCTGGGGTCACCAGCTTCCAGCTGGCCCAGCAGGACTTCCTGACGGTGGATCCCAGAGACCCCAAGTACAGCAAGGTGACCCATATCCTCCTCGACCCGTCCTGCAGCGGCTCAGGTAATGCACGGGGTTCTGGCCACTCCCCCTGGCCTGTCTCTGGGTGCGGGGACCCCAGGTAACGGCTGCTGTCCCCGCAGGGATGGTGAACCGGCTGCCGAGGGAGGAGGCTGCCCCAAGCGCTGAGCGGCTGCAGGCACTGGCCGGTTTCCAGCGCAAGGCCTTGAGCCATGCCCTGTGCTTCCCGGCTCTCCGGCGCCTGGTCTACTCCACCTGCTCGCTGCATCAGGAGGAGAACGAGGACGTGGTGCGGGCCGTGCTGCAGGAGCGGGGCTCGGCCTTCAGGTGCGCCGTCTTGGGGGGCACGGGGGAGAAGCGCTGCCGGGCTTGACACTGACCCTTGTCCCATGTCACAGGCTGGTGAATGCCTTCCCTTCCTGGCCCTGCCGAGGACTCGCTGCCTTCCCTGGGGCTGAGTGCTGCCTCCGTGCCTCTCCTGCTGACACGCTCACCCACGGCTTCTTTGTGGCTGTCCTGGAGCCGTGTGAGGAAGGGGCTGCTATCCCCAGGTGAGAGCAGGGCCTGGGGGGCTCCGCCTGTCCTTAGCAGCTTCCAGGGGGAACCATGGCCAGGCTCAGGGCTGCCGGGGGGAGGTGGAGGGGTCTGGCTGTAGTGAGTATGGACAGAGGCCAGGAGCCGCAGTATTGCGGCAAGTGGGGCCTTGGGTGTGTGGCTCAGGCTGGTGGCTCTTGTCCACAGCTCCTTGCCTGTGGCAGCCGAGGAGAATCCACAGCACAGCAAGGGAATGGCGCCGGGAGCAGCTCCCAAGAAGAGGAAGAGGAAAAAGCAGCGGGTGAAGGAGTGAAAAAACGTTTTTAGGACTGCAGCGCCCAGCTGGGAGTGGTGGGGAGCACTCCCAGTGCCACTGCTTGCCCCAAGGACAGCGGGGCCTTTCACATAAATAAAGCTTTTGTGCCAGCTGCAGTGGCATTCTGTGACACCCTGCTCCCCTGGGACCACGTGCCAACTCCTGGGGCAACTGCCCAGGAGGGGGAACCCCTCACCCAGGGCTGCTGGGGCAGCCTGCAGACAGCACCAGTGTTCAGCACAGCCCCCATTTCTGCACCCTGAAGTGCTCTAGGTGGATTAAGGCTTTTATTTCAGTTTCCCCCTCCCTAAAAATCCTTACCCTGAGCTGATGAGGGGTTTCAGAAGAGCATTTGACGGTAGGGATGAAACAGATTAAATTTTCTCTGTCTTCACTGTTGCTTCCAGCGTGTTTGTGCAGTCTTATCCTGAAATTGCCACTGCTCGCAGCTGAGGCAAAGGCAGGGGAGAAGTCAAATAATAAATAATAATGATCTTACCCATGCCTCTGGCTTTGAATGGAGGGGGGGAACACACAAGCCGGAGGGCGTTGGAAAGGGCGGTCCTGTATTGCAGCCCCAGTACGGGCCCAGAAATCAAACGTGGGCACAGCAGACATGAACACAGTCTTTTTATTTTAAACCAGGGACATAAGAAGCAAGGAAAAAAAATTGCACATTCACACTAAAATCCTTATCAGCCACATCAGGAACAATCCAAGTCTTCACTCTGTGTTAAAACCCAGCCTCCCCCAGCCACACACAGCAGCCCAGGCCCAGGGTGCCCTCCCAGGGAGGCTGTTGGGCAGGGATGGGGCACAGCATGGGGCCTCACAGGCTTGGGCAGCTGGCACTGAAATGGAGTAGCGCCAACAGCCAGTGCTCCCCGCGGGGCTCTCGCCATGTCCTCTGCTTGTCCCCAGCACCCTCTGCCGGACTGGTCTTGCTGGAGCTGACCTGGCCTAACCTCAGCCCTGGCTCCAGCACCCCCAGAGCCGCAGTCCTGCCTTGTGTCACTGCCACCCATGAGGGCTGGGGACCTTTTCAGCTGCTTTCTCAAACCCCAGGGATACGTTTGCCCAGGGTGGCTCTTCCTGCTCTAACCACCTGCTGGGAGGGGAAGGCTAGAAACCCCCTGCCAGCAGAGACATCTCCTTCCTGGAAAACCGCTTGTCACTGTAATGCGCAAGAGCTCCTGCTCCTCATCCCCAGAGAAAGAATTTAAAAAAAAAATAATAAAGTTTTAGTCACATCCACATACATCACATTTTAAAACAAAGGAACTGATGTGGCAGCCGGGGGGGGGTGCGCAGCGGCAGAGCCCGTGGGACAGAGCTGCCTTTCCCCAGCACAGCAGGGTCCCGCGGGCAGAGCCGGGGCACGGGCCAAGAGGGCTGCGGGGGCGGGCAACCTCACTGAACCAAGCTTGAAGGAATTCAAAGGCAATTTAGCTTAAATATAAAAATAAATTTTTATTTTGTTAAAAAACGTTTAAATATTTGTTTGTGATTATTTTTTTCTTTTTTTTTTTTTTTTTTTTTTTATTAAAACATATTTAAAAAGGATCCTTTAATAAAAGCATCCAATGTCCTTTTTTAAAAAAAAAAACAACTCCCTCGGGCTTCTAATTCCCGCTGGC